TGTTTTCATTTCATACTAAGGGTGCCAAATACAAGATACATCATTCGGCTAAAATGGCCTCGTTCAAACTTAAATGAAACAACGGTTTTGAAGCCCCACACAGAGCGAGATCGATCTAACCAAACCGACGCAATAAGGTTCACTGCTGCAAGAGTGATAAACCACGGAATTAATTGTGAAGGTTAGATGGATGCATACTGCGCGGGAGACAGGACGAGACTTTAAATAATTCGACGTCTACGGATTTCTTCGTTGTTTTAAATTCATGTTATTCTTACGAAAAAGGGAAATTTGCAATCCAAATGGAGGAATCAGGGAAGTCCAGCCAGGCGAGCGACAAATGTTTCGGTCATTCGAAGTAGACGATGAGCAGGAGGATCAAACGTTACCGGTGATTATCAACGATATCCATGTAACCAGGGACCATGTTAAGGTGATTACAGAGTTCTCGGGCACTTATTTAGAGCAATTTCTCTCGCACCGAACTGTTATGATGACAGTAACAGTTTAGAACAACGGGGTTCTGTGCACGTTCGCGAACTTTGTCTGGTGAGAAGATCGGAGCAAATTCGTATTTTTGGACAGCATCTTCAAGAGGCCCGATTTGAAACACTTCGTCACTGTTGAGTGCTGAGGCGATTTTTAAGGATGAAAACCAGCCTCCATAAAAGTTCCTTTTGGTACGTGAGTATAATGTGCATCACGGTAGAAAGATATACTAATCACTACCTGTTCAGTTCAGTTCTTTCAACCATTAACCATGCACTTCCGTGTGCCGGTTTTGGTTGCCCATTTGGATAAAATAGCAAAATGATAATTAGAATGTTGAGAGCAGATTTAGGCGGAAGAGAGCACATTTTTATAGACTGAAGTTACAAGAATAATGAATAGATGCATGAACGCCACTGTTCGCGACACCCAGCCCTATGACCATGATCTCTGGGTCCCCAGTCAAGGAGCCTAACGGGGCCTATGTGAGCCAGTCTCCTGGTCAGGGTTTTCATACCCTCATGCCAGGTCTTAGTTTGACCGTCCTTCATTTTTTCCAACCGCTACCTGCTTTGCCAAGCATCGCTCACCGTGGCAACCTATCTGGTAACATGCGCATCACATGTCCCAACCAGCGTAATCTATGCAGGTCGACTACCTGTTCCAGTGAACGAACGCGATTACCTAAAACTCTACGCCTAAATCACTACCTGTATCACCTGACCTTAATCCCAGTGAACATACAAGACCGACTCGCGAGGAAAGTGAATCAAAGATGGTAACAAAAATCTCTGAGAAA